CCCCAAAACCCCAAAACCCCAAAACCCCTTAAATTAGATATAATGAGATTTTTGAAGAATTATTTATAAATTATACATTACAAAATGAAACACTCAATGTCGATGCCAGATTTTTCAAGCTTTGATGAGGCTTATAAATGAACAAGCGCTAAATTTCTTGATCCCGTATATAGAGACTAAATTAATCTCACAGCAAATCTTTATAAGGATGCAGGTAAAATAGCGATAGCCATTATCATTTAAATAGGAAAAACAATTGACAAATACAAGCATTACAAGGGATGTCCATGTTAAGAATGCAAAAGAAATGGACGTGATTTGGTAATATAATGACTTATCATAACATTTTTAGTAAAATAAAATGGCTGTTCTCGAAATTTAAGATAAACTCATAAAAGATTATATGGCTAAACCTAAGGAAAAAAAACTTAAACTAGACAAAGACGATAAGCCTTTGAGAAAATATGCACCTGACTAAACAGAAGTGCTCAATGATAAACTTATTCACGATGTGCATAACTAAAAGACTGAAGAGCATAACGCTTATTGGAAAAAGTTCTGGAAAGATAAATACAAGAATAAGAGCTTTAAACGTGCACTTAAGAGTATGTCAAAGACAGAGAAATATAAATACCTGGCATATCCTAATTACAATCAATTGGCTGCTTCTACTGCAGGACCATTAGGATTACCTGGATTAGCAGGGTTACATGGATTAGCAAATTATGGTGGCCTAGGAGGATTAGGTCCGATGTCATCATTAATACCCCCTGTAATACCTCCACTTACTGCACAAGGTCCATTTCTTCCTCACTAGGGGGTTGGAGGATCTGTTATAGATCCACTTACTGGCTTACCTCAACCTATAAATTTCAATCCTGGCTATCCTTATCCTTATCCATACATGCATCCTTATGCCTACATTCCTCCTGCTCACTATCCCTATACAATAAATATGGATGTTGAGTGAAATAATGGCTAGAAGAGCATGCAAAACTTAAAATCTAAAAAGGGAACTGTAGACAATAAAAGATATGGAGCATTCGTCCATCCTTGGGATGACCCTCCTTATGAGCCATTCAAATATTATGGAGGCCATGATGATGAGGCTGAGTTAGACATAATTGATGACGGCAGATCCGTCGATCTCACACGATATTTAGCTCCATTAACTAAGTCTTTGGAGGATCAAAAGACTTACAAGTATCCCATTTAATATGATAATAATTGACCTAAAATTTCAACTGATAAAATATATAGTAATAATATCGAGACAAGTTTTAGTAAAACTCCAATTAATTTCATAAATTTTCAATCTGTCTATCATTAATGAGATCTTATGTAATGGGGTTTTGGGGTTTTGGGGTTTTGGGG